TCTTCACATTGGCTCGGCAGGCTGCCACATACCAAGCAGGCATTCCCAACCAGAGCTGTTGGATAGGGAAAAATACATACCCAGGTTATAATAATAGTTAACCATTAACAATGTCTATGCACTAGACATTATTTTAAGTACCTTACTTGTATGAACTCATTTATTACCACACCCCATGAAAGAGGTGCTATTATTTTTTCCCCAGAAGAGACAGATGCACAAAGACATTAAATAATTTATTCAAAAAAACCAGTTAGGCAGTAATGGAAACAAAGATTGGAAATGTAGACTTCAGGGTCTGCAATTTAACAACTAATTTATATTATTAGGGATATATATAATAGCTGCACCTCACCAAATCTCCTCTTGAGTTTAAGGACAAGAACAGCTACAAGCTGCATTTGGTAAAGGCTCAATTAACATTTGTTTAATAAACGACTTCAGTTTATAACTCTCCTTTGGAATTCTGAGTGCCTTTGATCAAAGGCTTTAATGTGGCTAATCCACATTTCCAATCTATCTACCTATAGGTGTATGAACTCAATTAGATGCTAAATATGAAAATACTTTTTGGAGAATGAAATGCTGGGCTAATGGAAGAGGCTAACATCATAAACATCTGGAAAACATTAGCTAAAGAGAGTTACAAAATGAATAATGCTTTAGAAATTAGGGACTGTGATTTTTCAGCTTTGCTGTGAGGCTCTGGAAAGACAATTGAATTGGTAGTGCAATGAGCGCAGCATAATGCCTGGCACATTATCTGCAGCACAGGGTGAACGCACTGTGTTGTAGCATCTGAATTACACTTAAATAAGGAATATTCTTTCCATTCCTCCCTGCCCCTCCTCCATCATTAGCTATGAGTAAGAAACAGGGCACATGCAAATGAGCAGTTTAAATCTTGGTTTTAAACAGCCAAAATACTGATTTTTTTTGTTGTTGTTTATTTTATTTGTTGATATGAACAGATTGAGTAAAAGGAGAGAGCATGAGAGTGAGAAAAAGTGAGAGAGTAAGAGAAGAAAACCTATAAATCAGCAGTATACAATGCCAAGAGCTCTGGATCAAGAATCAGAAGGCTTGGGCTCTAATTCCTTCCTCGTCATTGGCAAGTCAAGTAAGTCCTCTAAACCTCAGCCTTATTTTCCCCATTTGTAAAATGGAAGGGATTCGGCTTTATTATTTCTAAGGCTTGGTGTTAATGCAGCTTCTAAGATGGCTCCCAATGATCTCACTTCCTGACATTCCTGCCCTTCTATCGTCCTCTTCCTCTGAGTTTGGGCTGGACCTGGTGACTTATTGTAATGAAAAGACTATGATAAAAGTGATGGGATCTGACTTTCCAGATTAGGTTATGTAAAGACTGTGGCTTCATTCCTGCCAGTCCTCTGCCCCTCTGTCTTCTCCGAGCTCTCACTCTGGGGAAAGCCAGCTGCAGGGCTGTGAGTTGTCCTTTGAGATGCTCACATGGAAAGGAACAGATGCCTCTGGCCAACAGCTAGCAAGGAACTGAGTCAGCTTGGAATTGGATTTCCCCAAGTCAAGCCTTGAGATGACTGCTGTCCTGGCTGACACCTTGCTTGCAGCCTTGTGAGAGACTTTGAACAGAGGTGGTAGCTAAACCATGTCCAGATTCCTGACCTACAGAAGCCAGGAGGAAAATAAATGCTAAGTGTTGGGATAATTTGTTACATGATAATAGGTAACACTGATTTTTTTTAATTAAAAAATTCTGCCATATTAAATGGTTGCTTGCCTCTGTAGAGGAAACACAAAAAGTCAAATCTTTCAGTCAGTGTGGCCTGGGCTGTGACTGAGATAAGAGAAGGAGAGAGGGGATATAGGTACAGTGCATGACTGAATATAGTATCTCCTACAGGTTAGGCAAAGGAATTGACCTTGCCTTGACAGATATGATTAGCTACGACACAAGATGGGACTTGACTTCATAGTTTGTAAACTCAAGTTGTTCAAAATAACTAAACATCTAAATATACCTTCACTGGACCCTAAAGATTGTCACCTTTTTTCATCTCCTCTATGCTAAGATATTTGGATTTCCACACTGGTTAACATTACCCAAATGCTTGCCAATACATGGTTACCAAGGTCATCCCTGATTAGACTTTTACAAAGTTTTTGGTGTCGATAAATGGTGTGTGAAGCATCAGACTTATTTGTTCACATCACTCTTAGTGGGCTGTGCACTGAAGGAGATACTAAAGAAGGTGAAAGTTAAGAGCTCTCATTCATTGGATCACCCACCTCATTCATCTTGTTTATTCCATTGTATAATTTCACTTATTATACAACACTGGTTTCCTTGTTGTTCCCTGGAAACAGGCCAGGCCTTTTTCTGCCTCAGCACCTTTGCATCTGCTGTTCCCTCTATTTGAATGCTTGTCCCCTCTATCTTCACATGCCTTACTCCCTCACATACTTTAAATCCTTACTCAAATGTCTCCTTCCCTCTGAATGTCTCTTCCCCTCCTTCCCATAACAGCAAGCAGACATTCTTTATCCCCATTCCTTGCCTTATTTTTCTTCCATGGCATTTAGCTTCTAACATACAGTGTCATTTACTCCTCAATCTGTTATCGCATGAAAGAAAATAAGCTCAAGGAGGACCAATGTTTCATATACATACTCTGTTCAGAGGTGCATTTGAAGCATCTAGAACAAAGTCAGGTACCAAAGAGGTGCTCTGTAAATAGTTGTGAAGTCACTGCATAAAGTCATTTTACAAAGTCACTTTATGGAGCACATTATGAGCAATTTCTGCATGCTCAGGATAGTTCTAATTAGCACAAACTTCACTGCCTGTCATTTCCTAGCCCCTTAATGTCAGTAAATCTGTTTTGTTTTGTTTTTTTAATATATAAAGGATTTGTTCATCACTTGCCAAAACAGCAGTTAACTCTCTGTCAAACTGCAGCTCATTTTACTGGAGTGAAACTGAACAAAGAATTGCTCTCAATTTTGAGGTGGGCTTTCTTAAGCATTTTGTCTTATAATTGACTTTTAAAATACAGTAATTCGAAAGAAATATTTGGAAAAAGCAGCTCTGATCACTAATAAGCTAAAAATTTCCCGACTGATGTAAAGGAATAAAATAAAGCAAGACACAGCCTTCTTTCACTCAGTCCAAGAAAAAAATGCAGCATGTTTTTGTATTTATCTGCATAAGATTATTTTTTAAACTCAAGTGAGTTTTGATTGTTCCTTATTGATTAATTCATTAGCTCTGGATGTGATATGATAATGAAGGTGGACAATCTTATAATCGCGAACCTTTTAAAACAATGGGTTTTAATTGCCTCTGCCAAGCAAGAAAAGTTCATACAGTCAGTCTCTTGGTACCCTCAGGAAATTGGCTCCAGGACACCCCATACCAAAATCCGCAGATGCTCAAATCCCTTACTGTTGGGCCTTGGTATACACAGGCTCATCATCCTCGGATTCTGTCTCAGATTGAATGTGTTTGGTTGAAGCCACGATGGGGAACCCATGGATAGGGAGGGCTGACTGTATTCTTCTTTGCCTTGACATCAGCATATCCTAGCAGCTACCAACAGCCCACACTAGAGAACTGAATGGAAGGGACAGTGAAAACTATTGATAAGTGGTATGAAGGGGCCCTTCGTGGTCAAATACGTATATCGTTCACTGTCCTGGTCTGCTCCTGCTGCCTCCAAGCTGATCAAGTATTAACTCACTTTTCCAGACCCTTGTGTTATGCAGGAAATGCTGAATGTAGTTTTTATTTCATTGAAACATTCAGTCTAGACACAGAAGGGAACAAGGGAATGCACCTTCTTCTGCGTAACTCCAAATGTCTAAATCTAGCTGGCCCCTAGTCTTAAAGAACTAGGTTCAGGGATTATACTACAAGCAAAGGAATGGCAGCAATATCTTGGATAAGACAGAAGTGTTAAATATATGGAGATGCCTCTTCTCTGTTAACCTGCTGATGAGGAAAGGCTCTGGACTGATGTACTGGGACAGGTGTTTTCTTGCAACAACAGAAGTATCACTCAAAAACTGTTTCTTGATTTAATCTAGATATGAAGAAGACAGAATTTACCAGAACTTTCTTTTATCTCAGCCTGCTTCCTTCTGCCACAATCGCAAGAAAACATCAGAGTAAAATCACAAGAATGCCCATGGGTCCCTAGATAAAGCAAATATTCTCTTTATAAGTTATTCAAGACTATTGGAAAACTAGGATGTCAGGAACCGGTCTTTACTTGTCTCTAAAAATACTATCAAGTTAGCAGTGATTGGATTAAGAGCCTTCTGGTTTAACTCTCTTACCTCTAACCACGCGACTACAGTGGGCCCATCCCACTGGGCAAAAGGTAATCCCTTTCTCCGAGCTTCTTCTAGAAGTTCATGCCTGAAGGATACAGCAAAGATTACTAGTCAGGTAATATAGGAAAAGACGGCTGTGATTATTTTTAATGACAATATTTTTTTAAAATGCAATATTCCTTTATAAACTTTTTATGAGTTAATACAGAAATAACAGAAATCCTTCTTCCTTTGAATAATACATGCAAATCATCCATTGATTTTATTAGAAACGAAACACTGACATCTAAAAATAATTCTCCCCAACACTTATTCACTAAAATTCAAACATTAAATGTTAATGGACTAAGAAGCTGCATTTTATTATCAGTAAATATCATATCCCTTAAACAAGAAACTGGCCCACATATGAGTATTCTGGCATGCACTACAGGATCTAAATGAGGTTTCTTCCATCTGTCTTGCCTGTTTCCCTTATTATTTCAGTAGTAGATAAATGCCTGTTTATAGAGGCAGAAGATCAAGTTGGTCATTTTAGCCCCATTCAAGTGATATGCTTGATTTTAGTATGCTCTCTGGGTCCAGGTGGCTATCTTAGGAGTTAGTTTTTTGTATAGACTACAAAATTACTTCTCATTTGAAGAGAACTCCGAGGTAAATTGACTTCCATCACTACAAAGCAATGTAAGGTGTAAAATTCAATAGTACACTTATTTCCATTTATAATCACTACTGGTTTTAATGAAAGCAAAACATCTCAATGACAACAAATGGTTGTTTCTGATAACAAAAACTTGTAAAGAACCTTGACAAATGCATCTTTAATCACTATCTCTACTACTGACCCTTGACATCCATCTACAAAACCAATTTCAGGTTGCTCATGATTGAAATAGCAAGTTTCCGTTTCCTTTGAAACTCAAATTGATATATACCTGGCCAGGACTATATTGGAAAATATATTCTCTATTCCTTAGATGCATTGATCCTACACACAAATTTTTATACATATTGCTTTATGTTGACGGTGTGTCTTTCATGCTTAGGAACTCCAAAATGAAGCATTTAATTATTTCCTACTACCAACTGATTGTTTATTGTGGTGGACTATAATATGTTAAAATATATAATAAAAATGTCTTTTAACACAAAAGCTTTCCGTGTCTGTGATGGATGCTACCAAAAAAAAAAAAAAAGCAGTGTGACAAAGAAACAGGGAGGCAAAACAAAAATTAAAGTTATAGTAGATGAAGAGACACATAAATCAACTGCTCTTTCATTTCGTGGGATAGCAAAGAAGCATGTGTAAGCTATTCAGCCCCTGGGAAAGGGAACAGCAACACTGGTGCCATGAATCCAAGGTGAAACTAGAGGGGCTCCCTCACCTGGCTTGCTCTACCCTCACCCGTTCCCTCAGGCTTCCCAGTGACATTCCTTCACTGAAAACCAGATTTGAATAGCATATTGACAGAAATGGGTTGAAGGGTTAAACAACCAACCATCAGGTACTTATTGAGCACCTATTGTGAGCTGAGACCTGTGGAAATACAGACATGCACCCAGTTTTCCAGGAGATCCCTGGTTACGTAGAAAAAGCAAACACATGAAATTGTTTAAAAACAGAGTACAATGCACAATTAGATGCCAAAACTCAATGATGCATATTCTGAGGGTGAGGGTTTTGGAGAAGGGGTTAGTAGCAATGGAAATGATCAGTGAAGGCTTTGCAGCAATTGAACTGACTTCGAAGGGCTGGTGGGAAGGAGTTACAGATGATGTTCCAATCTGGATGAGCAGTAAGGGTGGAGGGGCATAGGCAGGACTGAACACAGAATACATGCAAGAAAATTTAGAGTAGGCTTCCACAGAGCCAAGAGCATTATTGAGAGTTGTAATATTATATCCATTAGGGAAAAAAATACTTCCAGTTATGCGACAGGTGAGTGGCATTAAAGGGGAAGAAACAAGTATACATTTACAACTGGTTTTTGCTACATTTAGCAAAAAAGCAAGTCAATATGCACTCAACACCTAGGAAGCACATAACATTTTCACAAGTGAATTACATGAGTTGTACATATGCCATTTTTGAAAACTAGAACATTTTAATTCTGACTAGTTCCTTAATAAAAAAAATGCACTACATGAGCTGGAGTGATCCTATTAAAAGTTAAATTGGATAATGTAACTTCTCTGCTCATAACTTTCCAATTACTACCTGTCTCACTGAGAATAAAAGCTTATGCAGCTGATAGGATCCACCCTACCCTCTTCATCATTCTGACTCAATTCCCATCTCACTCCACAACACTAGTTTCCTTGTTGCTCCCTGGAAACAGCCCAGGCCTTTTTCTGCCTCAGGACCTTTGCATCTGCTGTTCCCTCTATTTGAATGTTTGTCCCCTCTATCTTCACATGCCTTACTCCCTCACATACTTTAAATCTTTACTCAAATGCCTCCTTCCCTCTGAATGTCTCTTCCCCTCCTTCCCATAACAGCAAGCAGACATTCTTTATCCCCATTCCTTGCCTTTTTTTTTTTCCCATGGCACTTAGCTTCTAACATAGTGTCATTTACTCCTCAATCTGTCATCGCATGAAAGAAAATAAGCTCAAGGAGGACCAATGTTTCATATACATACTCTGTTCAGAGGTGCATTTGAAGCATCTAGAACAAAGTTAGGCACCAGCTCTGTAAACAGTTGGTGAATGTTGAACATGTCAGCCAGTATTTACATTTAGCTGCTTCTTGTTTCAGCTACTTGCATCCCATAATGTATTTTTTAGTCCATTTTTTAGCCACTTTGTCAGCACAGCACCCATTTCACACGATTCTAAGAGTCTGATCTGGTTTGCGACCCCTGATAGGAATCTGGTTGAGGTAATCCAGCGTGTTCAAATAATCCTATTCTCTTTTTGAACAGAAATTTATCATACAATTGTTTGAGAAGTCATTGGACAATGTAAACCTTGGAAAAGTTTTCTTTTTTTTTTGTTGCTTTGTTTATTGTGTTTAAATCACAAACTCTCATAGCACAATAACTTTAGTAAGAGTTTGCAAAGATAATGAAATAAGGGGGCTCAAGTCCAGTAGATTCTGCCCTTTGGTCCTCAGCTGGCAGGGCTAAATCCCAAGTAGATGCCTTTCAAATGACACACTTGAAACTGTGAGAAACAGGCCAGATTGGAGTGGATGGCTGGATTTTACTCTAGGACTGTGTGTTACATGATGTTAACTCCAGACCTGCTTTTCCTTAACCGAAGGGCAGTTTTAATTATGTAAAGAAATGCATTGAAATTCTCAAAGCAATATTACATTTAAATCTTCTCTATTATAAAAAAAAGTCTGCATTATACAGAATTTATGAGACATATATCTGGGCACATTGGCTTGAGAGAGAGCCACTGTTAGAAAAATAAAGCAATGTGGGTAATGCTCTAATTGTTGGAAATCACTGAGTTTAATACATGATGATTTCATAACATTATTAAGGGCACGTATAGCATTAATTTCATGGGGCCATGCTTGTTGTCATTAGACATTTTGAAGTCACTGTCAGAAAAATATTAGAAATACTAAATATAAAGCTGATTTGGCCCAAACGGGCATTTTGTATATACTGGTGTTTTCTGTTCGTCCAGTGCATGTGCAGAAATTTATGCATTCTCTCTGTACCCCAGATTCAACCTTTTCAAAGGTTCAGTGACAGTTCTTCCAGAGCGATGTCATGATCACATTCCCCAGTACACATCTGCGTCTGAAATTACTGTCTTTCTATTCAGGCCTGAAGAAACATTTTTGCCTCCCTTCCTTCCTTCCTTCCTTCCCTCCATCCTTCCTTCATCCCTTCTTTCCTTCTTTCTTCCCTCCCTTCTTTCCTTCCCTCCCCTCTTTCCTTTCTCCCTCCCTTCTTCCCTCCCTCCCTCCTTTCTTTCCTTCCTTCCTTTCTTTTAGACAATCTAATATTTAACCATCCTTTCCCCTCAAATCACTTATACATTACTATAGTTATGGGTACCCATTTTTGTTTTAAGGTTTAGACCAGATTTTAGAGGACATCAGTAGCACTTCCTTCTAGAGGAAGTTTCAGGTACAGGATTGTCATTTCCTGTGTGGAAACAAAAAAAGAAAAGTACTAATTGTAAGGGAAGGTCATTTTGAATCAGAAAAACTTCTGAGTCACTGAGTATTTTCAGGGAACACATTCTTGTCTGCAATAAAGAATACCATTAGATTCCCTCCAAAGGCCTCAGACTCTCTTGATAAGGGTGTCAGTGAGTTACTGTAAATGGAATGTGACACATTAAGAAGGCGCAGCACTTGGGGAATGCTCAGGTGTGTGAGTAATTGGCAAGTTCATACAGAAATGTGCAGAGGGCAGCCTGCACTTGCTTGTGCCTGATCTGAAGACAGGAACAAAGTGTGGGCACCCTAGTAACGTCTAGACCCAAGGATTTCTAGATAAAGGATTGAGAATGTCTAAAAATGTAAATAAATCAAGGGTATTTTCCAGGCTTGTAGTTCCTAAATACTAATCCAGACTAATTTAAGCAAGTATGATTTTGCTTAAATGATTCCATCCAAATAGAAATGTCTGGCTCCTCCTTTTCAGGTTTTATGTCTTTCTCCAATTATTTCAGTTTTGACCTCATAGGTGGAGTATGCTTACATTTCTAAGCTCTGTTTCCTTCACACTAAACAATAGCCACATACCTTCCTGTCTTGTCTTCCCACTCACTTTATCTTGATTTTCAAGACACAACAAAAATACTTCCTCTCAGAAGCCATCCTACCCTGGACCCAGGGGCAATATTTACTACTTATTTTTATATGCCCCTTAGTACTAAACAATTTTCCCTGGAATATCTTTAACATTTTATTGAGTCAGAGATTTAGCCAGTTTTATTTTTTGTTTTGAGGACAAAAACCAGATACATGGTAGGTCTACAAAAATCTAATGACTGACTGCCAAACCTAGTCCGGGGGCATACAAAGTCCCTGTTCTCGTACCCTTACAGTTTGGGAGAATAACTTGTAAATCAACAAATTCAATAAGATGATAAAACTCTGAGAAATGAAATTCA